GAGATAAAGGCTAATAGCATTAATGTAGCCCACCTGTTCCAAAAACAGGACAAGAAAAATGCTCTTCAAATCAATGAAAAACAGGAGCAAGCAATCAGAAAAATTAATGCCAAAGACATAAATAAACCTGTAATTCACAAAAGAAATTAAAATGCTACATAAACCTATGCAAAGATGAAATATATAAGGTTGTATAAGGATAAATGAGATCATGTACTCAGCAGGGTGTTTTGTATGCAATAAACGAAGCTATTAAAATACAACTAATAATTAAAGAAACACAAATTTAAATAACAAAAATATATACATATGTATATACATATGAAGGCTATATATATTCATATATTTATAACTTATATAATTATATTCTCTATATATTATTACATATAGATAAAATCTATAGGGCGCCTGGATGGTTCAGTGGTTAACCATCTGCCTTTGGCTTAGGCCGCGATTCCCAAGGTCCTGTGATTGAGTCCACATGGGGCTTCCCACAGGGAGGGAAGTTTTCTCTCTCTCTCTGTGTCTCATGAATAAATAAATAAAATCTTTTTAAAAATCTGTATACATGGGATCCCTGGGTGGCGCAGCGGTTTGGTGCCTGCCTTTGGCCCAGGGCGCGATCCTGGAGACCCGGGATCGACTCCCACGTCGGGCTCCCGGTGCATGGAACCTGCTTCTCCCTCTGCCTGTGTCTCTGCCTCTCTCTCTCTGTGTGTGACTATCGTAGATTAAAAAAAAAAAAGAAAAGAAAAAAATCTGTATACATAAAATCATATCAGAAAACACTGAGAAAACTTTTGATGCCCAAAGTGGACAAAATATGGAGAAACACATCCTGTCATAATTTGGTGGTAGTAATGTAGTGGGCATGTCCTTTTAGTGAAACACTTTGCCTAGTATCTTCTAAAGTCAAAAAATACACACATACAGAAATCTTAATTTATATATTTTACATAAAGCATAATTTTGTACATTTTTATCAATCTGAATTTATGTATATATTTCCTTTCAGTGATTTCACTGCTCAAAATTCTTCCTACAGAGTTATTAGCACAAGTGTACAAAGATATCTATATATTGATATTCACTGCAACAATGTAGCAGAGAAAACTAGAAACAGTCCAAAAGGCTACCAACAGTTAAACAAACATAACCGAAACAAACATAACCGAACGTTATTATCCAAACTGTGGTAGGTGTATATATAGTGACATGGACAACTGTCTTAAAAAATAATAAATAGTAAATTTTTTTAAAAAAATTTTTAAAGAGAAGGAATAATCCAGTGAAGGACCTTCTGTACATATGCTTCAAGAGAACCAAACCTACATGCAAAATTGTGTTTATACATATAAGTGCATTTCCTAAGGAAAGTGTCTGTTGCTTTTACCAAATTCTTAAAGGCATATATAGCCTCCTGGAAAAGGTCACTAAACAGTCAGGAAAAAGCATCCCAGCTCTGAGTATCTAAGAAATGTAATTAGGTTATACTTAAGTAAGAAAGACTTTCGGAAAGAAAGAAATGCTCTCAATTAAACTTTTAAGGACATATTAAAAGCCTCTACCACAAAACACAACATTTTATTCCAAAACTCCTAAATCTAAGGGTGTGAAGGAAGTTATTCATCAGATAACATATATATTCACTAATTACAAACTTCAACCAAAAATTAAAGATCAAAAAGTCTTCCAAATATGTGACTAGTTCATGCTTAAATTACAGTTAAAGTAACATCATACAGAAACAAAAGAAGGCAAAGATTAAGTGGTAGTCCCATTTGACAGTCAGGTTGATAATTACAGACTAGTTACTCACACATATAAAGATTCAGAAGTTATGCAGCCTTAACTAAACTTTTTTTTAAAAGATAAATCTGTGGCTTAAAATAAGGCAAAAATAAATTAGATCACATACAGTTTTGTGGGCTTTTTCTGAGTAAAATAAATATGTAAGTCTTTTCCTGAAGGTAGACTAGGAAGGGCATTTCTATACCTTTAGAACTAATGCAGTAAATTAACATTTTAAGCATTACAGCCACTAGAACCAATGAGACTTAATGAAGACTGAAATAAATGAGTAGAAAATAGCAGAAAAACTCTCTAACCTAAAATGAAAACATAGCTTAGAAGAGTGGTTCTCAACCAGGGGTAATTTTGCCCCCGCTAAGGGACATTTGGCAACACCTGAAAAAAAACATTTTTGAGTGTCAGAACTGGGCAGGTGCTCCTGGTGTATTATGAGTAGACGCTATGGATATCGCTAAACATCTCACATATTCAGCTGCCCATTCAAAATGTCAACAATGCCAAGAAATGGGCTGAGAGAACCAATGAATTTATGCTTTGTGATAATCAACTTTACAGAAGAAATCCTAAAACAAGATTTGTTTTGAAAGACTGACACCTTATCAAATAGCATGGAGTCTATAAAAATGACATAATTTTCAAAGTGCCATTTAAAGGAAAGGTAAATAAATAAATAAATAAATGGTATTTAATTGAATTTCCAAGTTTTAAATTATGCAAAAGCCACAGCAAAAAAAAAAAGGACAATGAATTAATGCTAAAAGAAAAAAGTTTTATACACACACACATCTTGTGCTCACAAACAACACTGAGCAAAAGAAACCAGACACACACACACACAAAAAAAAACTGTATTTTGCATGATTCTATTTATATACAGCTCAAGAATAGGCAAAAAGTGATCTTTTGTTAGAAATCAGAATAGTCGTTCCTTTGGAGAGGAAAAAAAAAGGTAGAGATGGGAGAGAACATAAGGGAGACTTCTGGAATGCTAATAATTTTGTTATTTCTTAATCTGGGTAATGGTTATATAACTGTGTTCACTTTGTGACAATTCCTTAAGCTGTGTACTAAGTAATCAATGCAGTTTATACAGATAACACTTTCACAAAAATGTTTACTTTTTCACAAAAAATGTTTATTTTTTAGCTGTTATTTATTCCTACCCTAAAAACCTGAGCACTATGACCCACAAAGCTAAAGAAACATCGATTGCAAAAGTAAAAGTATTTTTGTTACATAGGCTATCTTCCAAGAATTCAAGAAGGATGACACCCCCAGAAAGCTGTAAATACCATACTCAGAGCTCATACGGCCTTCAGTTGAACACTTAAGCCACCATATACCCCTCGGCATAAATCCAAAACTTTGACAAAGGCTTACAAATACAGTTAAATTTATTCCATGAGCAGCTGGAATTATTTCCCCCAATTTTAAACTGTGAATGTGCTCTCTGAAACAAATGATGGTTTCTCTTTCCTGATCCCACATTTTCCCAAAGCTCTCCCTAAGTAAATCCCTCTTGGCCCTCAACTCCCTAGGATCTCTCCAGACTGCCTGCAACAGTGCCCACCATCACCTCTCTTGGTATCCATCCTTATAATCCACCTCCCCACACACAATGAAAATTCACATTAATGTGCATTGCAGAGGCTGGTCTCCCCTATTAGACTTCCACTCGCTTTCAGGACCTCATAAATACAATCCAAACCTCACTACCTTCAAACTCCTAATATTCTCCAACAACTCTCTTCCCAGCAACACCACAAAACTAGGGCACATGGTAACCCCATCTTTAAATCCTTTTCTACCACATAAAAAGCCCTGCTTCTGCATACAATTCTGCTCAGCGGCCACTGTAGCTATGATCACCGGTGCAGCTCTCTGCTTTAGCACTCCCTCTACTGCATTCAAATCCATCCCATTTCCCATCCACCCCCTGCCCCAAACTCTGCTTTCTTTTTTAAGAACCTTTCCTAAGTACTAGAGCAGAGATACAAAGTTGAAGATTCGAGCTCCATTCTGCTCCAGTCTCAAGCACACAACCATGTGCATGGGCCTACAGGGTCAGACGCTGGAGTGTGAAACCCATCCGCAGCACTTCCTAACTGCAAGGCTTTGGACGAGTGATCTTACATCTTGAAGCCTCAGTTTGCTTAACTACGAAATGGGAAATCATACAAACAGCTCTCTCAGAGAGTTGTCAGGATGAAATGGATTACTGGCCGTTGAGGACTTTGCACAAATCCTATGTGGTAAACTCTCAGTAACTGACAGTTTTTCTTAGGTCCTCTTCTTGGAAAGAGGAATAATAAAAGAAGATGAAAGGTACTTTAAGGGCAAGGGAGTGGTGGAGGGAAGAAGTACTGTACAGACATCCGGCTGATACAAAGAATTGTGTCAGATTCCCAAACTCAGTGTCCTCTTTTTATTATCCCCTTAAAATGTGGACCCAAGAAGCCCTCAAAGCCCCTGCTAAAAGATGGGGGAAGACACAAACAGATACATCAAATCCTCCTTCCACGGAGGGAAGGAGGGAATTAAGTAAGAGGATGCCCCCTAAATTGCTAAAATGCGAAACTTGGGGGTCTGAGAATTAGGAAGGAAGCCCCAACGGCCCACAGGATTTCTCTTGGGAAGCTGAGGCGAGTACCTTATTAACAAGGAAATTAAAAGTAAACGCTAGAAACCATGAAGCTCAACTTCTCCCGTAGGAAAGAGTACGAAGTGGTTTCTCCGCAAATGGGTTGAGAAAGGAAAGGCGCTCTCCCCGTCTCTCGTGGAACACCCGGGCTTCCCCGGGCCCCTTCCCCGGAGGGGCGAGGAGGAGGGTCCACGCAGGGGAATCCCCACCGCCCCCACCCCCAGGGGCGAGAAGCGGACGCGGCCGGGGCCCCCAGGGACTTCCACTGGGTCTCTTCCAGCTTCTCTTCCAGCTTCTCTGCAGCCCGTCTCCAGTAGCGGGATCGCTCCGGGAATTCGGGGATCTCCCGGCGCTTCGGCCCCTCGCCGGCGCCCTCCGCTCCCCATCCTCAGGTCCCGGCTGCCCGAGATCTCCCCGGGCACTTCTCCCCGTCTCCCGGCCGGCACGAGGTCCGCCCGCCGCCCACGGGCTCTGCCCCCCCCCGCCTCTTCCCGCGCCGCCCGCCCTCCCCCCCCAGCCCCCGAGCGCCATGAGCCCGCGGGGTTACCTGCTGAGAGGGCAGCTCCACATGCAGGGCCCGCGCGGCGGAACCGGGGGGCAGCGAGGCGGCCGGGCCCGGGGGCGGCGGGGGCACCGGGCCCCCGACCGACGCTGAGGCGCTCATCGTGACCCAGGGGCCGCCAAGCGGCGGGGCCCGCGCTCCTCCGGCATCCGCCACCACCGCCCAGCCTCGACCCGCCGGACCCCTGCAGCTCGGGGACGCGCCACCGGAGAGGCAGGACCGCTCCACCCCACCTCCGGCCGCCACCGCCGCTGGCTAAGGAAGAGCCATGTTACCGCAGTGCAACCCCCACCACCCCGCCGAGGCCCGGCCTGCTCATTGGCTCCGCGGCCACGGGGGCGGGACCCGGCGACGCACACCGGACGTGCTACTGGGTGGAACGTCTGTCCATCACCGGCCGGAATGGGCTCGGGGCGGAGGCACCCGGGGATGGCCTAAATCGCGTCTGTCAAGCCGGGGTGAAACCTGGGGCGTTGCTTCTTTTTTTCCCAGTCTGATTGGTTCTTTCACTACCACGGGGCGGGGCCTCCCGGTGGATCCGCGAGGCCCATTGCTCTAGGTCTGTGTCAGTTGTCGGTAAAGGGAAAGAGGGGCGGGGCCCGATTAGGTAGAGCGCGCGCCTGGGCTCTGTTGTCACGTGCAGGAGGCAGGAGAGTCACCTGATTAGGGAGAGTCAGTCTTCCGAGCCACTTCCGCCCGAACCTAGTTGCCGTGGCAACCGGCCCCCCTCGGAGGGCGGGGACCGGTTGGGCGCCCGCTGGGTAGCGATGGCTCTCTACTGTTGGTAGCAAGCACCCTGAGCAGCCTTTTCCTGAGGGGCTCCCAGGAACATGCGGGGACTGAAAAGTATTTTATGGTCCGACAGAAGGCCACCGCGCAGGCTGCGCTGAGGCCAGAAACCTGTCGGGCAGTCCCACCTGCTCTTCCGTGACCGACTCCAACCCCCAAGTCCACGCCCCTCTTGGCGCTCCACTAACCTGTACGCTGAGCTGCAAGGTGTGCCAGCACCTGGACGCTGTTTAACCTCTACGAGTGTGTCGCTTACGCCCTCCTTAGAAAGCCTTTGCTACTTTTCTCCTCCTAGCTGACTTACCCATCAAATTTCATCCGGGAGGGAGGGAGGTCCCTTCTTCCAAAAGGTTTCACCGATCAAAAACAAAAAGGTTTCACTGATCTACTCTGGGACCCTAAGTTAGGACCCTGGCCTCGACCATATTTCTGATTATTCGATTGCATTGTCTTTTAATAAGTCCATAACACACACAGTGAATTCCTCAAACAAAAGGACCTTGTCATTCATCTCCGGCTCTCCAGGACCTGCTGGATAATCAGTATATGTTTATTTTTTAAAGTGAAGCAACCCAACTCAAATACCACCTCTTCCATGAACACTTCCTTGGTCATAATGATAGCATATATAGCAATTGCTTCTATAATAAATAGCATTGACTCACTCTGCAGGGTATCAATCTGCCTTCCCCCCACCCCCTACACTGAACTTCTCCACCACCTGGACTGATACAGCTTGAAAGAACACAGCGTTTTAGAATCAGACACAACAGGAATCAGGCAGTTTTGGAATCTCGGCTCTGCCACTTTCTAGCTATGTGTTCCTGGGCAAACCAGTTCCCCTCTCTCAGCTTTGGTTTTCCCGTCTGTAGAATAATAATAAGGTTGCTGTAAGTAAATCAACATACATAAAGTGCCAGCGAAGGCCTCACATTAATAATTGCATTAAAAATAGTTTAATAGAAAGTAAGCGTACCACCTTTCCAGGGGTATTCAGAAGCCTGAAGATACTTTGGCTCTGACCCCAGAGCTGGCTAACTTGGATGTCACACTGCCTCCTATTCTGAAACACCAAGTGGTTCCTCATGGGTGTGTGGTCAGGTGTTTGTTGAGAAGGGATTAGTTAGAAAACCCCAAAACTCATCTGACTCAACTCAGGAGTGCCAAGATCTGGTGGAATTTCACAGAAAACACTTTTCTGTTTCCAGGCTGCATTAGTTCCCTGAGGCTGCTGGATCAAATTACCATAACTGGGTAGCTTACAACAACAGCAACAGAAATACAATCTTCCACAGTTCTAGAGACCAGTAGCCCACAATAAAGGTCTTGGCAGGCCCTCACTCTCTCAGAAGGCTCTAAGGGAGAATCTATCCTTGTCTCTTTCATCTCCTGATATCTCTAGCTAGTTCTTAGCCTGGGGCTGCATAATTCCAATCTCTGCCTCCATCTTCTCATGGTTTTCTTCTTACTGTGTATTCTTTTCTTTTTCTTTTTTTTTAAGATTTCTTTAATAAGATTTCTTATTTCTTTATTCGTGAGACACACACACACACAGAGGCAGAGACATAGGCAGAGGGAGAAGCAGGCTTCCTGTAGGGAGCCCAATGTGGGACTCAATCCCCAGAACTCCAGAATCACGTCCTGAGCCGAAGGCAGACGCTTAACCACTGAGCCACACAGGCGTCCCTTCTTTTCTTTTTCTTACAAGGACACTTGTCTTTGGATTTAGGGCCTATCCAGATTATCCAGATCTCATTTTGAGATCCTTAATTACAAAGCCTCTTTTTCCAAGTAAGATGACTTTCATAGGTTCCAGGGATTAGAGCATGGACTCATTGGAGGACAAAAGGGACATTATTCAACTCACTACATAAGTTGAGAAAATGTGCCTGTGGAGACAGAACACAAAATCACCACTTTCCCCTTTGGAGGTCAGTTCTGAATATTAGCTAACTTTATTACTTTGTTCATTCCACAAATACTCATTGACACAGAAGTGTTAAGCCCTTTATTAGTCAGACTCAGACTCCTCCCCAGAGGAGCTGCCCTCTTTATAGAGTACTTAAATAAGTAAACGAAGAATGACGATCCAGTTGCTCAGTCTGAAGAAAGATCAGGAGCCATGGAAGACAGAAGAGTGTCAGTCATAGTAGAGGTGACACTTAAACTGAGTACTGAAGGACCAGTAGGAGCTTACCAGGAGGGAGGAAGGGAGAAAAGGATATTCTAGCAGAGACAGGATCCATTCTTTCTACAGGCTTCTAATGAGATTCAACTCTGTACCATGCTGATTATTGGGCCCTAGAAATACATACCTCAACTAAACTACCCTTCTCAGTCGTTTCCACTCACATGCCACTAACACCAGAAGAGCTGGAACGTTCACCCCTAAGGACAGGACAGAGAACTGAAATACCTGCAAAACATTCAAGGTAATGAATGTAAAATGTTTTGCACAGTGACTTGGGTATCTTAAGTGTTCAATAAATGCTCTCATTATTTTTATGTGTCCTATTTAATTCTAAAAATTCTTATATTATCGTAGATCCTTTTCCCTAATATGGCTACATTGGTTTCAGCATAAAAAATATTTCTAATCATTTTGAATTAAAATACTATAATATTTATACAATGCTATAGATTCCCTAGGGAAACATGTATCAAAGTGTAGGGAACATAGTTGCTAAGGTGGCCAAATACAATATAGATGCACTGATAGAAAAAAGATAAAGGTCAAGTGGTAATGGAATTACTGACTCACAGGAGCTGGTGGGCAAAGTCAGAGCAGGTTTCACAAAAGTCTTAAAAATGATTACTAGCTTGATAAATGAACAATAGAGGGTTAGGTCTGTTAGTTTCAGAGATGACTGGTATTTTAACAGCTAACTAATACCATGTTGGATATTGAAACCAAACATCGTTTGCAGGACCAAAAAGCTAAAGCCACTCCAATCCATTTTATGTCCTCTTCTTCCTCCCTCCTCATTCTCTAGATCTCATGGGTGTGATGCGTTGGATAAATAAGAGCAACACAGGCCAGGTTGGTCTTTTGATGTCTCAAATTTAATTAAATTAGATCTATCCCCTTCCTTTCAACAGAGTCCTCTTTCTTCTGTTTGCTTACTCACTAAGGCAAACCACTCAGACCTGTACCAGGTGCCCAGCCAGGGTACAAAACTTACAGAAATCATGCAAATAGAATCCCTGACTGCAAGGAGGTCATGGATAATTTCAGTACAAAGTGGTACATGCAAGTCATTGGGATGACATATTAAGTATAATGGGAGCACAGAAGAGGACTTTACTAACTGCTGCATGTTGTACCAGAAGGCTTTCCAGAGAAGAAAGGGTATTCTAGGCAGAAGCTTGAGCTCTGCATGAGCAAAGACCTTGAGGCAGAGGACATGACATTAGCATAATTTAAGGTGGCTGAAACAAAGGTTGCATAGGAGCAACAGGCAAAGAGGGTGGAAGAGGAAGATGGGGCCGGAAGAGGAAGACAAGGCTGGAAGAAGAACCTGGCTGCTAGGCCAAAGAACTTGGGCTTAATCTTAGGCAATAGGAAGTCAGTTAGATCCTCAGGCAGCCCTGGAGGTGCAGCTTTCAAGGGGTAGGATTTGAAGAGCAAGACTCTTGCAGAAAGCCAGACTCTTGCACCCAAAAAAGGTGGGTCCCTGGGCCAACCCTACAAGGTCACTTTTTTTGCAAAAGTCTCTCTAGATATAAGCTAATGGCTACCTTCTCTGAGCCTTCACTGCAGCTGCCTGACCTCTCTTTAGTACCTGCATCCACGTGCCTACTCATATGGTTTGCGTATGATTTGTGTTTGTCTCACCCACTCTGCTTTGAACCCTTGCTTTTAATTTCGTTCTGAATCCCCAGCATCCTGACACAGAGGGCAGACTGCAGAAGCTTCAACACACCAGTGACTGATGGAGTGAATAAAATCGGTGAATGAGTGGACGAATGCTTGAGGAAGGGAATGTTTGGATGACACGGAACCTCCATACCTCTCCCACTGGACATAGCCCCAGAGAGAGGAGGTGAGCTTGCCCACAGTCACACAGAGTTTGTAGCAAAACTGAGTCAAAGACTTGGGCCTTAGAGCACCTGGGTGGCTCAGTGGTTGAAGATCTGCTTTTGGCTCAGGGCATGATCCCGGGTACCCTGGGGTGCTGGGATCGAGTCCCACATCAATCTCCCTGAAGGGAGCCTGCTTCTCCCTCTGCCTCTCTCTTTCTCTCTCTCTCTCTCTCTCTCTCTCTCTCTCTGTCTGTGTGTGTGTGTGTGCCTCTCATGAATAAATAAGATCTTAAAAAAAAAAAAAAAAAAGACTTGGGCCTCTTGCCCCTAGGAGCAGCACTCCTTCCTCAGTTCCAGTGGTTTTCACACCATCATGGACTATAAGTGTGCCAGTGTGGGCACATGACTATGAATTAACGGGCCAGCCCAGGACGACAAGCATTAGACATAAGCACATCTTACCCATA